CAGGCTTCAGCAGTCACTTTAGCGAAAAGTCATCAATCTTTGTATGTAAATTACAAATACAGAGACCAATCAGCAATTATCTGAGTGTTCTTAGAAGAGCTTAAGTGAAGTTTTCATAACTTTCTTTTGACATGACTATTTGCCTTCTGTTACATTCATTCTTGGCACAGTTCCACTGGAGTTGGAAGAATTACAGCAGGGATTAATTTGGCCTTTCTGTATGTATGACTGATGCTTTATATACCTCTAAAAAAAGTCATTATTTTTTCTTGTTTGCTCTTCTTTGGAATGTGCTAGTTGATGTTTTTTTTTTCCTTGCAGTGTAAACAGTGATTTAGGAGTTTAAGCTAAACCTCTTCAAGGCCGGCAATCCATGAGGTGTGGGGGACTTCTTTCTCCTCTAAGTCTTCTGATGTTTTGATGCTCATCTAACAGCTCCTAATCCATAAATCCTCACAACTGACACAAGCATGTCAGCTCCCACTTTATTTAAACCCACACAATTGCACAAAGAGAGAGAGGGAAAGGGAAAGGTCCCGGTTCTTTTGATTGCAGTAAAATACTTAAAAATATTCCCCCTAAAAGCTCTACATCACACATCAAACATCACACAACCCCCAGATGCACTGCATTTTATAATGGTCATGTTCAGATGGAGACATATGAACACCTGGAACTGACAAGGTGTGTCCACACAGGGAGTCAACCCATGTTAGGTGCCAACCATGAAAGGCTGCAATCCCTGCTCATGCCTTCCCATGGTGAGAGTACAGGACCAGAACTAGATCTTTGCCCACGTCACCAGGTTAAGGTGGTCACCAGGCTCCCATCTGGGTCCTGACATACCAGCTACAGAAAAGAAAAGAACGGGGAGGAGATCAGAGTGGAGACATCAGAGTCAGCAAGGCTAATTACTGCCCAGGGCACTGCCACCACGGCACACATCCAACTGCTGGTACCGTTCCATAACCAGGGCAGAGGGACGGTGTGTGGCACACTGACTATGAAAGCAGCGGTGCTTGTGGACAACCTGTTTCCCTTCCAAACTCTGCAAAAAGCCTGTATGTGTAAAACACCACCCACCAGCCCGGCGAGCTCAGTGATGGATACACATGATGGCACTGTGATGGTACCCACAGAATATGATGTGCCACATGTCTGACAGAAGCAACAACCCTGGTCGCTTCATTTATAGGATTTTTTATTTTGCATCTCTACTCACTACTCTTTACATTCTGCAGATTTTGTACATATGGATTTGACACCTTTTTAGTATATCCTCATGGAACTCTTTGCTCCTGTATTTATAGTGTTGGACCAGAGAGCTCTTGCTGCAGTCTTGTTAATTCAAAGCAGATCTTCACCCTCAGTCTTCAGGTGAAAAGTGAGGATTCTTCACAAATACTTCAGCAGTTCTGCTTACAAAGTAAGTCCTGTCTCCCTGAGGATCAAAATTTGCCTTCCTACACAACAAACTCTGTCCTCCTCTGAGCCACAGTCTTCCTCCATATCCTGCAGTAACACCAAATCTTTTCCACTAATCATTCAGACATCCAAGTGTCACTAATTTTTCTAGGCTACATGTACTGCAACCTAAAGCACCATGTTTTTTACTCATCTTCCATCTTCACTGATGTGACCTACGTTGCCCTCACTGGCTCTTGGACATAAGAACCAGACCAATTACTAGCAAAAGGAAAAGATAAAAGGGGCTGCTTGGGAAGTAGAAATTGGAGAAATTCCCTGCTCTCCACCATTGCAAAAATCTCTCTCCTATCAGATGTAGGTCCTCTCATTTTTTCCACATGAGAAAAAGGACTAAATAATACCTGCATACATCCTTGAAGGCTTTGCTAATAAAGTGGTAAAGAGCAATCTGAAAATTCACAGATGAATATCCACTAATTAGGGCTGACGTTTAACAAAAATAATTCAGTATATTCCACAATGCTTACATGGAGACCTGAATCCAACAGAAATCAGTGCTAAACCTCCCTTAATCTTCATTGGGATGCCACTTCACTTTCAAGACACACAAATACTTTTGTAAAGTCTGTGCTTACACATTCAGTTGCCATGGTTTAATTAAAGAGAGTAAAAGAGAAAAAAAAAAGGAATGTTTGAAAGAGAAATTAGTCCAAAAGTGTCTTAAACTGGCCTAAACTAACAAGTATGATCAAGATTTTTGGTTTCATAGAGAATCTCACTCCAACTTTCATGACCTATGAGATTAACATGTATGGAAAGTATCAGCTGTGTCTGATACTAATGTAAAGATATGTGACTTAAGCTAAAACTGAAAGTAATACTTCTTGCTGGTTAGATCACATTCTTTTATTATAACTTACCATTTAAGGCCTTAGTCCTGCAAAGACCTCATAAACATATGACCAGTTCTAATGGGATGAAGAGCAAGGCTTCACATATTATTTTAAAATTAAGCAACGCTCTGTAGGGCGTTCACTTTCAGCCAGACCTTTGTTTGTTTGTTTGTTTGTCAGGCATCCACCAAGTCTATAAAATAAAAAAAGCTCTACACTCCTTGTTATAAATATTTCCTGCATTTTTTTTTTTTAACATAAGAATTATACTCATCCTTGTTTCAGTCTGTTTGGGACAGAAACATTTTAACATAGGATAGATTAATGTCCTCTTGTAGTTCAATATTGCTCAAATTTTATACATCATGCACCACTTTCAGTACATCAGTCTTTCTTAAGAGACAATCTAATGAAATCACTGTACATGAGCAATCACCCTACTCTAGTCTTTAATCAGACCTCCACATTTTATCTGCAAGAATCTGCTATGCAGAACTACGCATCTGTAATAAATTCACTTGCCAACACTGCCCACTTTTCTACAAATTGGATTTATTAATGCCAGCGCTTCTTTCCCAAAGGAGCAGGCTCTATGGAAATCAGAGACTTTACTGATGTGAGTATCGAGTTTTAGTCATATGTCAATCATTTCACCCTAATTACTGTACTCACCTACCTCTGAATACAGTAACAGCATATTACAACGCTATACCAGGCTGAGGAGAGGAACTCAGTAACACTTTTTGAGAACAACACACGAAATTTAAGTATTGAGAACATAACTGACTGAACTGGAATTTGGACATCACATGGAGATAAGGTTGCTGTCTATGCAAGAAGCACTAGGAGGTTTTGAGGGTTGATTTAAGTGATGGGTGGAAATCCACATGCAATCCCACTTCGTCCTTACAGTGAGACATTTGACATGAACCAACCCCGCTCTGTAAACCATATAAATGTGAAAATGTGGTGCTGCATCTGTTCTTGTAGTTAGCAACTGCCGACCTTGTTTGGCTTCTGAGGACCTGGCAAAAGCAGTTTGAAAGGGTTTGGTTTTTTTAATGGATCTTTTGAAGGTAAACCACTCTCTCAGATAACACACACTTAAATGGACAAATTCTATATTCTATTGTCCCAGCTTGCAGGTTTGAGACTGAGCAAGTTGCAGGGGCAGGCTGGTAGAAGCCAGTAGACACAGCAGTGATACACTGTAAATTAAGGAATGCAGAATAAGTAGGTTTACCATGAAATTTTGATTGACATCAGGCATTCCGTATCTCTCAGCTGATCAGAGTCAGTCCTAAACCAGATGGAGTTTTGTAAGGGAATTTCCATGAGGGATGTTACATGACAGTACTACTGCAAAGTAACATCTCAAAGACACAGCCATGCAGAAATAGGTCCCAAAGAGTAATGTGCTTTGCTGTAACTAAGATAATTATAATCCTTTCTAATTTCTAATGTTTAGTGGGGTTTTACTTAGCAAAACTGGGTATTAACTTTGCCCATGGTTTTATCTGGCAACAAAATCTGCAGGCTCTTGCATTAATAGATTTACTAGCGCTCAATCAGTTTCAGCTGATTCAGTGTCCAGGCTGAAGTATTATCCAGACTGTAAAAGTCACTGTTTTTAGTGCTTACAGTAGCTGCTACAGGGACTGCATATAGGCAATTTTTTTTTCTGCTCCACTGTTTGGCTCTGCTCTGTCTGACCAGACACTCCTACGCTGAAAGAGCAAGGGAGCAGACAGAGAAGTTGCTCCTGCCCTCACCTCCTCCCAGGATGGCACCTCGCACCAGCTGGAAGAGGAAAGCCAGCGTGGTGTGCACTCAGGTCCTGCTGGAGCTGGTGAGTCTACTCAAGAAACAGTCTTCCTGCCCTTCCAGAAGACCTATGTCCAACACTGATTTACAATCATTATTACAATCATTAGTTATTATACACTGAGTTACAATCATTCAGCGTAAGTACACTGTTTTAACATGCTCTTTATCTGATAATGTTGATTTGTTTGTGCTAATTTTTGGTGCTTTGGCAGCAACAGGGGATGAACAAAATGAAGGACATGGTATATGAGAACTTCCATGGAGGAGAAGGAAAAACTGATTTTTTTCTCTTGGATTAAAGTTCAAGTGTTATCAATTTCATGGTTAAGGTTGTGGTTGTCCTTATGGCCTCTGCAGGCTGCTCTGATTGTGCCCTCCTTTGCCTCTCCAAGTTAAACACCACTCTTCTGACAGGGTGAAGGCAACAGTGGACCCCCAACTCTAGGCTCCACTGGCTGAGACCACTTCTGTCTGGTTCACTGAAAGAGTGCACAGCCAGGCTTCATGTCCTCCCCACCTTGTGCACACAGTGAGGTGGCTGCACAGCCTCTCCCATGACACAACTGCACCCAAAATGGACCTATAAACCTGTCCTAAAAAAGCTCTTTCAGTATTGCCGTGGTACACTTTATCATGGAGGGTGGTCCTGGTCTTTGCTCAGTTAAGATCTTCCAAACTCTCTTCCAAGCATGGTGAGGGTTTCTGTATCAATCAACTTATGACCCCGTGGGAGTGGGGCACCCTCGCACAAAGCAGCACCTCATCCCTGGCCGTCCTCTCACCATGCTGTCCCCAGGGGGCCAAAACACGCCCAAAACACCACCACCCCTCGACTCCCACCCAGGGTCCTACCTGGCATCGACTGTGCCGCCGCCTCGGGGGTGGCGGTGGGGATGGCATGGGGCTGCTGCTGGCTGGAGCTGACCTCAGGCTCGGCGCTCACCGAGGGCGAGCTGGCCACCTCTCCCCCTGGGACCAGCTGTGGGGCAGGCGGGAGGTTCTCCTCAGCAGCCGGCGGCTCCTCCTGACCGGGCAGCTGCAGGGCTGAGAGGGGGATGCTGATGGGCTTCCCAGCGGCGGCAGTGGTGGCGTTGGAGCTGGTGGCTGGCACTTGGAGGGCGGTCACAGGGCCACCGCCTGCCCCTCGTGCTGGGGAGGCCAGGGGGCCACGGGGCGGCCTCTGTGTGGCCAGCCGGGGTGGTCCGGGGGGTGAGGCAGAGAGGCGCTGGGGGTCAGGGTCAGGGCCCGCAGCCGGCTGGGGCAGGGCCCTGGAGGGGCCCAGGCAGGAGGGCCCGGCCTGGGCCTGCGGCTTGGGCTTGGACATCTGCGTCAGGGCCAGGGCCGGCCCGTCAGCACCGGCCGTCAGCTCGGCGTTGGCCACGATGTAGTAGTCCTCCGGGAGCTCCTGCTTGATCTTCTTGAGGAGCACCTCGCCGCCGCCCTCGTCGGCAGGCTGGGCCTGGGCAGCAGTGGGCAGGCCGGCGGCTGGCCGCTTGCGGGGGCCAGCGGGGGCCCGGTGGGGGTGCGGCTCGAAGTCGCTGTCCTCGTCGGTGACGGAGGACTCGCAGACCATGTCGAACAGGGTGGCCTCGTCCTCGTACTCCTCCACGGGCTCGCCCAGCTCCGACGGCTCGCTGCAGTAGGAGAAGTCGCAGGAGTCACGGGTGCGAGTACAGTCTAGCTTGGCCTTCCCCGGCCGGCCCGGGTAGCGCTCCAGGGGGCTGGCCTGCGCCTCCGAGGGCACCCCCAGCATGCTGGGGCTGTCCGAGTTGAAGCTGCGGCTGTCCTGGAAGCAGACACGCTCCTGGGAGCTGGCTCGGCAAGTGGCGGCCAGGGGCCAGTGGTAGGCATGGCCGGCGCTACAGCCCCACATGGCCGTCAGGTTGCCGTGGGCACCCTCGGAAAGCAGGTGCTTGAGGTTGGGGATGAGGCTGCAGATGGTCCCGTGGCTGTGGGCCCAGCTCACCAGCTTGGAGAGGTTTTCGGAGGAGGTGTGAAGGCAGTCCTCCATGGTAGAGGATCAACAGGGCCTGGGCCGCTGGGAAGTCAGCTGAAGACAGGGTTCAGATCACAGGGTCCTGGCACTCACGGTCGCCTGTTGCCAAGCTCATGCTTGCTGCTCGCCTGCAAACAGAGAGCAAAAACCCAGCTCTTCAGCACTCCCAAAGCAAGACTGTGTTTGCACGGGCAAGTGAAACATTCCTAAGCTCAGCTAAACCCATCTCACTCTCATCACAAGTGCCGTAAAGCACGTTTCTCAAAGCAGTGCCTGCTTTTAAGCAGCCTCATTCCTCATTCTGCCTGCAAAAATCCTGCCTTTCAACCCAAAGGAAGGAATATCGCTGCAATATACACCTAAAATAAGATAAAACAGCTTCTCAAACAAGCCAGTTCAGTATCAGTGGCAATATGATTTAAAGCTTAAGTCTCTGACAAAAATAAAACACAGCCAAAAACATGGTGATTTTGCCTTCATACTGGGGAAATGAAAATTAAATAAAATCTTCATCTTGAACATCTGGGCAGCAACCACGAACAAACTCAGACACTCCCTCTGCACCTGATGAGACTTTATGACATTTTATGTCATTTATGCACATTTCTCAAATACATTAAATAGCTCCTTTTCAACTGACTTTGAGAGTCATCAAAATTAAGGCCAGAAACTTCAGTTTTCAATATATGGAAAAAAAGAAACAAGTTCACCCTTCATTGTGTTATACTGACAGTCAGCAATTGTCCAAAGGCTTAAGAGAAACTTAAGGGACTTGCAAGGTTTAAGTCATAACATTACTTAAGATCTGGGTTAACCTTTTGCTTTTTTACCATATTGTCTGTTTGCCCAGATCTTAGTGATGGTTCCATTCAAGACAAACACTTCACATTTTCACCAGAACCATTTAGAAATTTGCAGCACAAGGCACAGACCTCTGGGGCCAAGGCCATGAATCCTACAATATTTCAGGTCAAATATAAATATACAAAACCTGCTGCATATTCATCTTTTCCTGCCAGAAACTGCTTCCTGTCCACATGGTACAGACACTCTCCAGGCAAGGTCTCATCCCACACAAGACTGCAAGCCCTCAACTTCTCAGGACTTCAGCACTTGGACCTCCTAGGAGACCTTGCAGCTGTTTCTGATCTGCCTTTAACACTATGAAAAAGACAATGAAACATGATGCAGGAGATGCTTCATTCATTTAAGTGAGTAGAAAAGAAGGAAAAAATAAAGTAAATTTGAAGATTAACCATTCTTTCAGTAAACAAAGAAGAGCAAGGAATTGTAACATAAGTCAGCTAAAAATACTGAAATTGTTTACAGGTAACTTCTTGTACTGAACCTTTCTTTTCCCTGAGTGGTTTACCAGAGTATCTGGTATGAAAATTCAACAATCTGAGTAGTAAGCTTCTGATGGTATATAAGTATGGCTATAAGGCATGTCTGGAATTAATAGCGCGGGGCTTGGTCTCTGCCTGATGAACACCAGGGCACTGCTGGGGGGGCTGGGGGCCAGGCAGCTGGGCCAGGCATTGGGCACTGGACTGACAGACCCAGGCTGAGCTGAAATGGTGCTTCTGGGCCATGGGCAGGGGGCGGGTGGGCAAGATGAGCACAGCTGTTAAGGCTCATGGGTGCCCTCAGAGCCCTGCCAAAATAATAAGGTTGCACTAGGAATGCCCAGTTTGTGTGTGTCTCTTGCCCTCTAGTACCCGTTATAAGTCATCTGTTTAAATCATCAACTATAGGAGGTTTTTCATAGGAACATTGCTGTTAATAATTATTTTTTAAGTTTTATTTTGCTTGTAATGCTTTGTATTCCACACACTTCCAGATTTGAGCTGCAGGCAATGCCCGTTTTCCTGTTATCCAGGCATTTTAATACTTAACTACTGCAATAAGAGTCTTTTTTTTTTCTTTTTTTTTTTTTTTTTTTTACCAAAACAAATGGACCTGCCAGAAACTGCTTCCTGTCCACATGGTACAGACACTCTCCAGGCAAGGTCTCATCCCACACAAGACTGCAAGCCCTCAACTTCTCAGGACTTCAGCACTTGGACCTCCTAGGAGACCTTGCAGCTGTTTCTGATCTGCCTTTAACACTATGAAAAAGACAATGAAACATGATGCAGGAGATGCTTCATTCATTTAAGTGAGTAGAAAAGAAGGAAAAAATAAAGTAAATTTGAAGATTAACCATTCTTTCAGTAAACAAAGAAGAGCAAGGAATTGTAACATAAGTCAGCTAAAAATACTGAAATTGTTTACAGGTAACTTCTTGTACTGAACCTTTCTTTTCCCTGAGTGGTTTACCAGAGTATCTGGTATGAAAATTCAACAATCTGAGTAGTAAGCTTCTGATGGTATATAAGTATGGCTATAAGGCATGTCTGGAATTAATAGCGCGGGGCTTGGTCTCTGCCTGATGAACACCAGGGCACTGCTGGGGGGGCTGGGGGCCAGGCAGCTGGGCCAGGCATTGGGCACTGGACTGACAGACCCAGGCTGAGCTGAAATGGTGCTTCTGGGCCATGGGCAGGGGGCGGGTGGGCAAGATGAGCACAGCTGTTAAGGCTCATGGGTGCCCTCAGAGCCCTGCCAAAATAATAAGGTTGCACTAGGAATGCCCAGTTTGTGTGTGTCTCTTGCCCTCTAGTACCCGTTATAAGTCATCTGTTTAAATCATCAACTATAGGAGGTTTTTCATAGGAACATTGCTGTTAATAATTATTTTTTAAGTTTTATTTTGCTTGTAATGCTTTGTATTCCACACACTTCCAGATTTGAGCTGCAGGCAATGCCCGTTTTCCTGTTATCCAGGCATTTTAATACTTAACTACTGCAATAAGAGTCTTTTTTTTTTCTTTTTTTTTTTTTTTTTTTTACCACAACGACATGAGATACAGTTAGTCAAATGTGTGTACAATCCTAGAGCAATGATCACATTGAGAAAGACAGCACAAACTAGTTTTCACACAGATCCCGCTACTGGGATACTGGAACCCTCAGTAGACTATTTCTGAGGTGGGAAATTATTACCCTCTACTGTAAAGATCCTCAAGGACCATGGCTGAAATAGATCTAAGTAAACTGTGAAGCTCTAGCTGACCTCAGCAGGTCCTGCTAACTCAGACCCCAGATGTCTGTAAGAAAGTCAGCACTTCACAGATGCACCCCAACACATAACCCTCAACCAGAGTCCTCAGTATTATTAATATAGAACTGGACCATTTCTTTCTTTGCACTATTGTCTGTCTTCTAAAAATGAGTGTTATTTGAGTTGCTGGAGAAGATCAGTAATAAAAGAGCTCAAACAACTTAAAATTTCATGGTTGCTGGGCACAGGCTGGGCATGTTTTGAGGTTACTGCTCAGCTAAATTAACAGAGATTAAATGTACATGTATATTTCTATAACACTATCCATGTTTCCTATCTCACCAGCCATTACCTGCTAGAGGTCACTTTTTCAAACACTTTTTCATCACATCTCAATACAATTTCAATTTGGTAAATATATATTTTAAATTATTAATCACCTAAGTGGAACTTTTGTCATTAAAGCAATGAAGGGATGCCAAAGAAACTGCAGCACTGTCAAATGACAGCGAAGTCTGAGTGTCTCTCTTCGTACACACCTGATGACAGAGCTTTCACCTCCGGTGACTTTCTCAGACAGCTAAAATTAACTGGGAACTTCTACTCATTTCTGCAGGCCTGTTTGTAGGCTCTCCCTAACCTCCTCTCTCCTGTGATTTGTGAACATGATCTGCAAGACTCGGAGCCCCAGTTGTTCTCAACTCTCTTATATTCTCATGTAGGCAGAAAAGCCCTTTACATTTTTCCCAACCGAAATGCAGCATTCTCTCCAATGTTACACCTCATTTTGTTCCCTGTCCTCTTCTAGACAAGCGTTCTTAGACGTGAAGTGACCTGCGTCGTGGCTCGAAAAGACAGCTACACGGTGTCCAACTGCCCCTGGAGGATGCCCTCCCTAAAATCAACACAAATACTACCTGCCTGCTCGCTTGCTCTTCAACGTCGCCTGCCAGGTAGCTGCAGATAACCCTGTTCGCTCTCTGCCCAGGGAGGTGAGGAGGCTGTGTCACAGCGGTGTGGCAGCCTGTGTATCCCTGTCCACCCGCTCTCGTTCACCAGGCAGAGGGTGTGCAAGCAAAAAATGGAACCAGAATGGACAAATACTGCCTACAGCTCTCTCCAGGAGGCTTGCCATGGGTCTTTCCTCCCTACGCAGGCACTGCGTCACACTGGTGGGATCAAGAATGGAGCCAGCAGATACATTGCATTGCAAACTTCTAGGTATTTTTCCAACATCTTTGAAATTCAGCATGACATGGAGGGAAGTACTAGGTAATGAACGAACAGGAAGAAGCACATCATTTGGAAATGGAGTAAAAATGATGTAGGATTCAAGCTTGTTTCTGCAGAATCTCAAGCCAGGGTGCATGCAGAGAGAAAAACTGCTACAATAACTCAAAATCCAGCTTTTATTATTGCCCACATAAAACCCCAGCAATGGCACAGATCTCCCAGCACAACTTGCAACACAAAGCTCCTTGCATGACCACTGCCTCTGCGCAGCATAATAAATGCAGTAGGACCTCACCTCCCCTTTTCAAACATAGAGCTTTTAAACATCTCAAAGTTGTTTGTTCTATTTGGTTATTTGTTTTAAACCTTTTAAAGATACACATGACAGGGTTCAAAACCCTCAGTGCTTCCACATTTCTGCTGACTGGTGTATTCAAAGATATGGATGTACAATGCACCCCACCACAGAGAAGACGGGAGGAGTAACAGCATACTCTCAGGAGGCAAAGAGGAAGAAGGGGAAAGGAGGGAGAGCTACAGTCAGGGCTGTAGTTTTGCTGCAGTTGCACAAACCCATGGGAAATCACGGAGCTGCTCAGTTGCTGCGCGACCAGCGAGGTATCTTGGGAAGACAGAAAGCCCATTTTGGCAGAAGAACCATTTTCTGCACAGATAAGTGAGGCTGGGTCAACCGCCACAGTCTAGATTGTTTGTGCAGAGCTGAAAATGCAAAGACATCAGTTATTCAGAAGCAATGTGTCTTCGGTTCACCAACTGCAGCGG